AACGACTTCTGCCTCTCATCATCTCCGCTTCTCTCTATCACCATCAGCCTCCCTCTGCCGATTGCAGGGCTTCAGTGACTTCCGCCTCCAGCGACTTCCGCTCCAGCTCCAGCTCCCAGCGACGACTCCTGACTTCTGAGTCTCCGACAAGCTTCCTTCCGGCGTCATCTCCATCTGTTGGCTATATCCGCAACAGAGGAAAAGGTAAACTACGATGGTTAACTAACAGATTTTTATATGATTTTTCTTATTATTTAGAATATTTAAATATATTTATATTTGACCGTTATTTGACCGTGCGCTATTTGCCACTATTTTGCCGCAATAGCCCGAAATAGCCTAAGCGGTACCTCGCCGCGACGCGACGTGATCCGCTATCAACATCCCTCTAATTATTACACCAAAATTCCGAAGTTATGGTGAAGGTTGAGGATTATATTTTTATATTCTAACATACAATAACCAAAAAATTTCATTCATGTTTGAGACGAGGCTGTAACGAAGTTCTTGCTTTTAAAAGTAAATAACTTAGGCTTAAAGTGAAACCAACGACATACTAGTTTATGAATTAGATAAAGTTTGCAATATAATAACAGCCACAAGAGAGTATACATAGGATCCAAAGCAGAAGAGATTTTCTCAAATATGCACAAATCCTCAATAGGTTTTAAGCAAGTGCACTAGTGATTTGGCATGAAGAACTAGTTCTTGTGATAGTGGGCTTCTAGGAAAAGACCACAAATTGCTCCACCCTTGTTCAGTAATTGACAGGTTGACATTGCATGCATAATTAGAAACTTATGTGCATTTTCTTACAAACGTGTGCTCATGGGCTAGCACTTTAAACCACTAGACTTAATGAAGGAAACAATTTGGAGAAGAATTTAACTCACAGTCAAAGAAGAAACAGAATGTCATTTAAAGTTGGACAGATCAGAAGCTAAAATAAGAAAGATTAATGAACTGAAGTAGCCAAAGGTCACATTTTAACTATAACAATCATTTATTCTACAAATAAATACACATAATCTATAAATCTCCCACAGGATAGACTGAAAAATAGCGAATTAGAAACAGTAGCTGCATATCATTGATTGAAGAGAAACCAATCACCATACAGGATTCTCTCTATATACAGTCAAATGCTAGTCCCAGAGAATCAACCTAAGTTGGTCCCAATACAACAGTTTCAGATTCTCTCCCCTACTAAAAAGGAGTGGAACTTTAAATCACAACCGTCTATTGGTTAGTTGGTTGTAATTTGTACCGAGCGAAGAATAAAATGAGTATAAATCATGGGGAACATGGGAAGTGCTAGAGTATCATAACTGTCTAAATATTAATGAATGGTTGTGATTGGTTTTTTGGCAGTGGAGATGAAGAACGATTGCAATGTTGAAGGGTTTGGATGAATCGTGGAGAAATATCAGAGGTAATCAGATAGTGTGGTATGAGAGATTTTTTTTCCTTTTTGCACATTGTATGTGTGTATCATCAGTGTCATTCTTTACTTTGTGATTACTATACATCATCTGATGATTACCCTCACTCTCCCTATTTTGCTTTGACTTCCCCCAGATCTCCCCCACATAAAGGTTTGGTGCAGAAACTTGCAATCCTTTTATGGAGCTTGGTTACACATGGTCTTCGCATTGAATAATAGCTAGCAAATGATGATGCTATAGAGATTTATATCATCAAAATCAGTAATTTGGAAATAAGGACAAACCAGGCAATATGGTATTATGGAGGTAATTTTGGAGAAGAATTAGGAGGAGGCGTAGAAAAACCTACATGGCATTTTGATGCGAAAACTCGAGGTTTATGTGACTTTACTTTATTCTGTTCAGAAATTCTAAAACAATCTTTCGCCACTGTAAGAAGGTCATCCAGCGACCACATGAGAGGCAAACTATTCTTCAACTGCCTTGTTTCCTGCATGCAAGCAGCAGTTAGTATAAGTAAGCATACAGGATGCTACCAGGTATATTAAATAATCCCTCATTCCAATCCAAGATTCTTTAATCTTAACACCACATCTCTGATATATTTGATAGTTAACCATAGACGACCGAGATACTGTCCGTGATGCAATATAAGGATTAGTGATGTAAAGCATGTTAACCTTATGTAAAAGAAAGTATACAGAATTAACAAGTAACAACAAATTTTTTATCAAATATACACATTTCCTTTAACGCCTTTACACACGGAAAAACTTACAAAATACATCAATAAAGGGAAACCATATTCCCATATTGTTTAGCAAACACAAAACGTCCATTATATGAGGCTAATAGAAACTGAACATATTAAGAAGTTGTGCTCTCAAATAGTACCATCCAGCTTACGATGAGTCTCCAAAGATCAGTTCTAAAAGCAGATCCCCGTTTTTCTATGGCATTGACAAGGGTAGATGTGCATTTCCTAGCTGCAAAAAACATATAGAAATAACGTAAACTTAGGTGTATGGGCGCAAATAAGCAAATAAAAAGTGTCAAAGAACCATAGTCATACCAATTCTGTGTTTTTTTTGCAATTCACAAGGTACAGCTGCTTCAAATGAAGAATCACCTATAGTAATGGCAGATCCCGGCCTCTCCATGGTATGTTGTTTACCAAGAATGACCACTGACTGCAGAAACTAGGTTCAGCATTTTCATATTCATGAACATTTCGATCTAATATCCGTCTTTAGGATATCAGGGATGGTAAAACAAAAAACCACTATTCGAACTTCTGGCATTCATGCTAACTCCCCTCTAAATTTCCAAAGACTAATTTACAACTTCTAACTAGCATGACGTCTCCAGTAAAGAAGGAAAACACTATATTTGATAAAGTACTAATTCCTTTTAGGGAAGTTAATTAAATTCACAATGTATCTGTCGAGATCTATAAAACTACTTTCAAATTACAGACACCATCATAAAATTACTTCCAGGCACTTCCCTCTTTGTTCTAACTATTAACTTCATCATGATAGCATTCTTTGATGACAACAAATGGAAGCTGTTAAAACAGGCACAAGTCAATTAAATTGTATTCTCATAGCAACAGGGTCTATGAATATTCTATTAGCAGGAGGTAGTATGAGATCCGTAGAAGGCAAGAAAATCACCTGTTTACGCCTAACAAATCCGAGGAGTATCAATAGTGCTCTCTTAAAAGAAAAGTCATGGCTGTTTTTATGAGTTTCTGTTCTGTATGCAACTTTTTACTAGTTTTATTCCTTCCGAGTTCTCCAAATAAAAGAAGGTGTTAATGAGAAAGGCATGAGTTAATCAAATGAGTTCAATCCATCCAGGAACACATTAAGAGTTACTAATAGTTCAAAGGTAAGAAAACAGAGTTAAGGTATAGTGGCGTGAGATAATTAAACTAAGGTCAATGAGGGAAAGTATAAGGTTGTAATGTGGGCGGGCTTTGATGGAGGTGCTTAAAAGTATTTAACATGGAGTTAAGAAACTGAAGATCAGAGGAGCAATGACCTTCTGTGAAAACTTTCATAAAGGTTGATAATTCAATAAGAAGTTATACAAAGCAAGGTTAATAAGACAGCTAGGAGGCATCACCTTCGGGCACAAAATAGAGAGACTCTCCACATCCGAGACAAAAACATCATCTAGTCCAAAATCGCTAGAATGCTTCAATGCTTCTTCAATAATCGCCCACGTCAAAGGTTTGCATTGAGCATGGAAGAAAGCATAGAATATGTTTAAGAAACTAAAGCACTTCAGTACTTTCTTCAACCATGACGGGCATATACAACTGTCATTTCCATGTTTGTTACCAAATCTTTCTATCAACAAACATCCGCCTGTATTAGCATTTGATAAGCAGTTTACCGAACCAACAACACGGGAAATTTCAATGCGGGATTGTTGATCAAACACATCTCTAGAGTCAGAGCTCAATATATCACAAAGGGAACGATTACTATCAACCTTCCTCTTTTTCCTTGTATTTGTAGACGGCTGCACAGAGATGTCACCCTTCAGCACCTCTTTCTCATTGCTGGACTGGTTCAAAGAATTGCTGCTGTTTGATATTACACTCTCGAACGAGACATTGGACATATGTGACAGTTCAC